TTTGTTACAGGAAGTCTCACACTGGATTACTGCACAGATCTCGAAGAAAAAAACAAAGCACACCGAGACTGAAGAAGAATACACAAGACAAATGTATTTGGCTATTATTTACTTATCCTGGAGTTCAGCTTTAACCCCCCGGTGGTATTCCCGAGTGTAGCTAGAAGCGTATTCTAGTGTACTAGAAGCGTTAACCCTGAGCTACACTCGGGAATACACTGCAGCGTTGCTCTGGGATCCCTCCAGCGCTTACCTTGTCCTGCGCTCCCTGCGATGTCCCTCCTGCAGTGTCCCCGGCAATTTCTCCGGCTGATGCCGGCATCTGTCTTCTGGGTTCCGTTCTCTGCGAGCATCGGGACGTACGGGGGGCGGGACCGGCGGGAATTTCAAAAATGTAAACATTTTACATTCACTCAATACACTAAAATCTGATAGTATTCCATTCCTGTATCAAACCATTTCACATACATTTTGTCCCGAGTGCTTTGTCCGGCGCCCTGCCTGCATTTTAACTGTTCTTTCTGCCTGGAAACTGAGTAAACGTCCATGGCGTCCAAAAAGCGTCCCTTTAGGTCAGACGCGGTTTTAGACCGGCTAGAGAACAGCGATAGTAAATCAGAACCACTTGCAGAATTGAGTGATAATGATTCGTGGGGGAAATTCATCATCAGACACTGAAAACGATTCTGCGACTTTGCTCAGCGATGTGCGAACTTGGCGCTCTATTTCACATTTCAGTGATTTTGGTTTGATTACATTATTGAATTAAATTTATTATTATTATATTATTATTTTTTATATGATTATTTATTAAATTATAATTTATGATTTTGTGTTTCAAATGTTATTATACCCGGATGTTTACTAGACTCGGACAGATTTCAATGAGTTATTCCTAAGGATTACAGGCCTACAATAAAAAAACAACATATTTCCATTGCAAACAATGTACCGCTTTGAGCACAGAAATACTGACATAATCAGACCGCTAGGGAGGTTAAGAAAGTCCTAGCAAAAGTTTCTAGTAGTCAAAACCTTGCTTCTCAGATGGCAGCATAGCAGTTGCTGACAGGTGTTCAGGAGGCGCTACTTCTGCCTCCTGAACACCTGGTATTTTTTGTTTGTTTTTTTTTACTTTTAGTTTTTTGAACTGGTGAATGACAATTTTACATTGCGGCACTGTACTGCAAATGTGAGACGAGCATTCAAGTCACGGTTGCGCTGCGACCCCCCATTGAATTCAATGGGCAGTATGACAGACGGTGGCACTATCTCTTAAATTGGCCATAGACAATCACTGACCATCCCTTTTCTACAGAAGTCACCTGTCAAACGGACATGTTGGAAAACTTTTGTTGATCAGCAGCTGCAGGATGTGATCAGTGTATTCTGGTAGCCCCAGGTCCCACTGTCAGAATACAGTGGCCGGCGGGGACAGATTCCTCTATCCACCTACCTTGTGTGGATGGAGAAATCTGTTCCTTTTTTTTTTGTTCAGCATGCTGGCTGAACTAAAAAAAGAAAGCCGTCTATGGCCAGCTTAACCCCAGCCTTTATAAATAGGGTCTATAAGCACGGGGGGGGGGGGGGGGGGGGGGGGGCGGCAGTCAAGTCATGTGACCACTGTGATTGGCTGGCTGTCGCAGGGTTCACATGACCAAGAGCCAGCCCTGCCATCTGGCAAGAGGTAAACCATGTAAAATTGTCACGGTCATAATTGGAGCCTATATACATGGATAATCTCAGGCATTTTTTTTTACATTATAAATTATTATTTGTTTTGTTGCAGAAATGTTGATTTATTTTTCAGTTGAATACAGTCATGACAAAATTTCCGCAACTCCCTGAGAAAGACACAAGAAATGGAATGAATGTGATCCGGTCCATGGAAGTAACTCCAGTAAGTTGTTTCCGTGCAAAGATCTAACCATATTATACAGTGGTGTTGATTCTGGAAGGGGGGTACAGGCAGTACTTCCACACGGGGCCAAGGTCTCATAGGGTCAACCAGGGGGGCTGGGCTTGGCGGGGCTGCTTGTGGGTGGTCCCAGTACACTATCATTCCACAGTGCAAGTGGGCACCTGCTTTCAAGCATAAAACAGAGAGAGGGGAGCTTGTTCCCCGGCCCACCTGCATGTAGTAATGGCAGTGTCTGGTCTTACTCTGCTATTACACCCCGGTCACATTGGGTGCGACTTGGTATGCGATTTGCATGCCCTGCGACTTGCAAATCGTATGCCAAGCCGTATCCTATTGTCTGCTATTAGAGCGGTCATATCGGTCCGGTTCGGACTTGGTTGGAGCTTCAACGATTTCTAAAGTAGTGCATGCAATACTTTTGTTGCGATTTACATAGACATCTGTGTCAGATGTCTTGCATATCGCAACTGAAATCGGCAGGTCACCCGATTTTGAAATCGTGCGACTTCACTCTAAGTCGCACGATTTCAAAATCGGCTTTGATGTGACCAGGGGCTTAGTCGCCTAGGTTCTGCTACAAAGCAGGGTTCAGAGACAGTGGGAAAGAAGATAGATATAAGCCGGCAAATCGGTGGACTCAAATGTTGAAAATGTTTATTGGCTGCACAAGTACATTCAGTAAAACAATGTGAACGTGTTTCTGCCACTGTAGCCTTCCTCATAGCGGCTGAAATGCGTTAGCATTATTTTACTGGATGTACTTGTGTAGCCAATAAAGATTTTCAGAGTTTGAGTTCACCAAATTTCTGGCTTATATCTATCTACATTTAAAGTATTGATGCAGCAATGAGCACCAGTTTATAGCCTTGGATAGCATCACCAGCAGTAGAGCTTTGGTATTGTATTCACTGATTCACAGCAGGAAAGAAACCGAGGAGAGATCAGAGACGCTGACCCTCCTCTCAACATCCGTGTCAATGGAGAGGGTGAGTTAGCTTTCTCTGTATGCTGTCCAGACTGCTGCTTTCTCAGACCACAATGCAAGCATCCCAGCAATGCAGTAGCAGGTAGGTTGCTGTAAATAGTGGTCAGAGTGCTAGCAGATTACTAGGGATTGAGAGAAGTATTGGAAGGAAGGAATTTATAATATGTGTTGAAAGTTGCTTGGAGGAGGGAACTGGGTGGGGGTTTAATTTCATGGAAGTAAGTAATTCTGCTGTATCTTAAAAACTGCTGGGCAGAGGGTATAATTGGTGCGGATGATGTACCAGGAGGAAGAAATTTATGCTTGACGGGAGGTATAGTGGGTGAGGTTTAAGTACTAGGAGGGGGGGGGAATTTCATCTACATTTTGAGTCTAATCATAAAGCAGGAGTAGAAAATGTCCTGGGCCCAGCATCGATGAGAATAAACAGTGCCTTAGGGTTGGTGGTCAATTACATAGTGCCTGTAGTTGGTAGGAAGAGGAATAGTGCGCCATCATTGGTATTACTAGAAGGAATAGTACTTCATCATTGGTTACAGTGGGAGGAATAGTACTCCATAATTGGTTACTGTGGGAGGAATAGTGCCCCATCATTGGTGTCAGTGGGAGGAATAGTGCCCCATCATTGGTGTCAGTGGGGAGGAATAGTGCCCCATCATTGGTGTCAGTGGGAGGAATAGTGCCCCATCATTGGTGTCAGTGGGAGGAATAGTGCCCCATCATTGGTGTCAGTGGGAGGAATAGTGCCCCATCATTGGTGTCAGTGGGAGGAATAGTGCCCCATCATTGGTTACAGTGGGAGGAATAGTGCCCCATCATTGGTGTCAGGAGGAATAGTGCCCTATCATTGGTATCAGTGGGAGGAATAGTGTCCCATCATTGGGGTCAGTGGGAGGAATAGTGCCCCATCATTGGTGTCAGTGGGAGGAATAGTGCCCCATCATTGGTGAGTCAGTGGAAGGAATAGTGCCCCATCATTGGTGTCAGTGGGAGGAATAGTGCCCCATCATTGGTGTCAGTGGGAGGAATAGTGCCCCTCATTGGTATCAGTGGGGGGAATAGTGCCCTATCAGTGGGAGGAATAGTGCCCCATCATTGGTTACAGTGGGAGGAATAGTACTCCATCATTGGTTACAGTGGGAGGAATAGTACTCCATCATTGGTTACAGTGGGAGGAATAGTACTCCAATGATGGAGTACTATTCCTCCCACTGTAACCAATGATGGAGTACTATTCCTCCCACTAATACCACTGATGGGGCACTATTCCTCCCACAGTAACCAATGATTGTGTCAGTGGGAGGAATAGTGCCTCAGTCAGTGGGAGGAATAGTGCCTCAGATCAGTGGGAGGAATAGTGCCCCAAGGTCCGGATAAAGGCTAGCAAGGGGCCACAGTTTGGAGCAGGGGCGGACTGACCATTTGGAAACTCAGGCACTGCCCGAGGGCCCAGGGGTCAGTAGGGGGCCCCATGAGATTCCCCTGGTACCTTTTTCATAGGCTTTTTTGAGTTTGGGCAAGGACACAGAGGCCCCATGATCCCCTATTGCCCGGGGGCCCCATGAGTTGTCAGTCCGCCCCTGGTTTGGAGACCACTGCCCTAGACAAAAACAAGCACTGAAAATGTGCAGTGCGGGCGCAGCCCCACTGCAAGAGAAAACTTTTTTTGCCCAGAGTTGGGCTTTAAGCTGAGACAATTCTGTAATATAAAACAGGCTCCACACCTCAGCCTGTATTTTATAAATGGGCTGTAAAATGCTTGCCATGCTGTAGAGTAATACTGTGGTGCATAGAAGAGATAGTGATATCTGCTATAACTGGGCCCAAAAGGTGGTCTTTATGAAGTGTTATAAATGCAATATTTAAGACCCTATTAACAGAACCCCTACATTACTAATGTGTCCACATAGGCTTTACAAGCCTCTCTATAGATTTTTCTGATCTACTTTCATCCTCTACATGTCTACCTTTGTTAGAGTTTATCCCATCACTCTATGTAGATGGGTCTCCATGTGTAGCTAGCTTGTTATGGAGAAATGATTGTGAAATAACATCTAGCAGAACCTTCTCAACTGTTTCTCTTTACAGGTAGAAAGTTCGGAGATAAAAGCGTTACAAGAGAAGCTGGCAGCTGCTAATCTAAAGTTGACAGAATATCGCAACCAAATCCAGACCACAAAACAAGAGCTGAAAATGGCTCACAAGGTATAGCACAGCATCTATTCTCTATATGTTTGGTGCAATAGATGTGACAGCTTTGTGGATATTTTTATTAAAAACTGTTGAAGCAGCAGAAACATATTTCATTTTTAGTGGACTATGTGCCTCGTCTTCCCTCAAATGCATAGTCAGGTCCATGCAGACCAGGGTGGATAAAAATCAATGATTTTTTTTAAAAAAATCAAAAAAATCTGATTTTTTTTTTATTTAAATCGGATTTTTTTTATTAAAATCAGATTTTTTTTTATTTAAATTGGATTTTTTTGAATAAAATGCTTTTTGAGGAAAATATATTACCATCCAAAGGTTATTCCATCATGAAATAAAGATTCGTTTTTTAATTATGTAGAAGAAGGCTGTATATGTTTAATTTTTTTGGTAAATAAATTCCATGAATCCATTCACAATGTCATGCTCTTCCAGAGGTTTCTGTAAGATTATTGGGCAGTTTCTCTGCCTACAAGATATTATCACAGATGATTGGTTTACTTTTGCAGTTCTCAAAACTGAATTTGACTCAGCGGAGATCACATGCCTCTTCTTCACAGCAAAAAATGTTATAACATGAACAGAGTTAAGAAAAAGACCTTCATCCTAACTTCTACAAACCTCTGAATACAGAATCAACCCCTCCAGTGCTAAGTTTCAAGAAGTTCAGTGAATAGAATAGAAACAATATTTTTCTGATTGTTTGGAGTGGAATAGATCTGCACAAGAAGAAAGTGAAACTAAGTGTGAGGAGGAGGGGCTGACGGTGCGAGGAGGAAGGGGCCGACAGTGTGAGGAGGAAGGGGCCGACAGTGTGAGGAGGAAGGGGCTGACAGTGTGAGGAGGGAGGGGCCGACAGTGTGAGGAGGAAGGGGCCGACAGTGTGAGGAGGAAGGGGCTGACAGTGTGAGGAGGGAGGGGCCGACAGTGTGAGGAGAGGAGGGGCCAACAGTCTAAGTTTCTTTAAAATATATATATTTTGTTTAGCCAAATTAGTTAACAAACATGGATGTTTAAGCAAATCACATATGCTGGAATGTTATTGTTTCAGTTGAATAAATCTATTTAAATTGTTATTATTAAGGTAATGATTATTTTTCTCCTTCCTAAGTACAACAGAAAAGTTGTCCAAATATGAATGATTAACCTATTAACCACTTCCAGACCGGACACTTTCACCCCCTTCCTGTCCAGGGAAATTTTCAGCTTTCAGAGCTATCACGCTTTGAATGACAATTGCGCGGTCATGCAACACTGTACCCAAATGAATTTTTTACCATTTTTTTGAGACAGATAAAGCTTTATTTTGGTGGTATTTATTCACCGCTGGGATTTTTATTTTTTTTGCTATGTAAATGAAAAAGTCCAAAAATTTTGAAAAAAAAGTGTTTTTTTTATAAAATTTTGCAAATAAATAATATTTCATCATAAATCTTTGCTAAAATTTATTCCGTTATCTTTTTAGTAAAAAAAAAAATCCAAATTAGTTTATAACAAAAAATTATAATTTTTAAACATTTTTTTTTACATTTTTATTTTATTTTTTTATATTATTATTTTTTATTTTATTTTATTTTTTTACATACTGTCACCCTAGCAGTACAGTGTCACCATGGTGACACTGTACTACTTGTGGGGGGTGATGAAGATTTTTTTTTTTTTTTGTTTTACACATTGCTTTTACACCCATATAGGATTTCTCTTTCTCTCTGTCTGCATTCTTGCACTCATTGAGAAGTACTGAGTGAGCTGTGATTGGTCACAGCTTGTCACATGGTACAAGCCTGTTGTGAATAGGCTTGTACCATGTGACCTCTGTGATCATTCACAGATTTCACACGTAGTAAGCAATGATGTCACAAGTGACATCTTGCTTACTACTCTGCATGTGATCACTGATTGGCCAATCAGTGATCACACGATCGGGACCTCGTACAGAGGTCCCGTCCGACGATCGGTGTGGACACAGCGGGCACCGGATCGCGTTGCTGCGCGCTCCCAGGGGAGCGCGCACAAGCAGGGTGTGGGGAGGCCGTTTATAAACGGCCACCCGACCCTGCACTGCCACCGTCCGGCCGTTTATATGCAACGGCCAGTTGGGAAGTGGTTAAACTGGGGATAAAAAAACTAATATGAAAAGTTGTTATTCTAAAAATCTTTATCTACTTGCATATTAAAGTTATACCAGCAAGAATTAGTCTTTATGTAGAAAACTAGGATTTACATCAAGCCTTACTGACTAGTGATTTAAATCGTGATTTAAATCAAATCCACCCTGATGCAGACTGTCTCTCTTGTATGTATTGCTTGTATATAATGAAAGGTATGAAGGCTGTTTACAAGATCTATTATGCAGACTTTGAGGGCACATTAGGGTCTGTCCTTAGACTTTATACGATTACCAATGCTTGCTAAAAGGTATCACTTAAGCTCCAAAATTTTTTCTATTAAAAAATGGCTAATATAGTAAAAGACTGAATATCTAATAACCTTTATAATTTTTAGATCCTCTTGTGGTGTTCATGCTTGCAAAGTCTTACCTGATGACCAGGCTGGTATGCTGAGCCTTATCTTATACCCTGGTTGATATAATGAGCCTCACTTGATAACCAAGCTAGTGTTCCAAGCCTTGTCTGCTGCCCCGACCAAGCTGCTAAACATTTTCTGGTGCGCATGCTCTGCCCTGAACATTTTCTGGTTTCCAGGCCACTGCATGGTGTAAAAGCAGTGTGCTGAGCCTTATCTGGTTCCCAAGCTGATGTTTGGAGCCTTATCTCATGCCCAGGCCAGTGTACCTTACCTTGAGCTTAGACCAGTGTGCTAAACCTTATTTGATGCCCAGACCAGTGTGCTGAGCCTTATCTGGTGCCCAGGCCAGTGTGCTGAGCCTTATATAGTGCCCAGACCAGTGTGCTGAGCCTTATCTGGTGCCCAGGCCAGTGTGCTGAGCCTTATCTGGTGCCCAGGCCAGTGTGCTGAGCCTTATCTGGTGCCCAGGACCAGTGTGCTGAGCCTTATATAGTGCCCAGACCAGTGTGCTGAGTTATATTTGGTGCTCAGGCCAGTGTGCCGAGCCTTATGTGATGTGCAGCCTTGTGTGCTGATTCTTATCTAGTGCCCAGGTCTGTGTACTGAGCTTCTTTTGGTCCCAAGCCAATGTGCTGGGCACCAAAAAACCTGGGACTTATCTTCTGTTTAAACAAATGTGCTGAGCCTTATCTGGTGCCCAGTGTGCTGAGCCAGTATCTGGTGCCCAGGTCTGTGTGCTGATCCTTATCTGGTGCCCAGTATACTGAGCCGTATCTGGTGCCCAGTGTGCTGAGCCGTATCTGGTGCCCAGTATACTGATCCTTATCTGGTGCCCAGTGTGCTGAGCCTTATCTGGTGCCCAGTGTGCTGATCCTTATCTGTGGTGCCCAGTGTGCTGAGCCATATCTGGTGCCCAGTGTGCTGATCCTTATCTGGTGCCCAGTGTGCTGAGCCTTATCTGGTACCCAGGCCCAGTGTGCTGAGCCTTATCTGGTGCCCAGTGTACTGAGCCTTATCTGGTGCCCAGTGTACTGAGCCTTATCTGGTGCCCAGTGTGCTGAGCCTTATCTGGTGCCCAGTGTGCTGAGCCTTATCTGGTGCCCAGGCCCAGCTGATCCTTATCTGGTGCCCAGTGTGCTGAGCCTTATCTGGTGCCCCCGGTGTGCTGAGCCTTATCTGGTGTGCTGAGCCTTATCTGGTGCCCAGTGTGCTGAGTCATTATCTGGTACTGAGCCTTATCTGGTGCCCAGTGTGCTGAGCCTTATCTGGTGCCCAGTGTGCTGAGCCTTATCTGGTGCCCAGTGTGCTGAGCCTTATCTGGTGCCCAGGCCGGTGTGTGCTGAGCCTTATCTGGTGCCCAGGCGGTGTGCTGAGCCTTTTCTGGTGCCCAGGCCGGTGTGTGCTGAGCCGTATCTGTTGTAGAGGTGAACATGCTACCCTTTATCAGGTGCCCAGGCCCTATGCTGGAAGTAGGGGTGTCTGGTTTAATAGAGAGTCTTCTCTTTTTAGCTCAATCTAACATGCCAACCCTTTCTAATAATACATGCTATTTGCAGGTTCTAACCAATGAAATTGGAGAGGATGTGAATATTCCTCAGCTAATTTCCTCATCCGGAAGTTGGAGAGGCCGGGCACAGCAGATTCTAGCTCTGCAGGGCAGGGTGAGTCTAAAACCTGTGAATTGTTATTCCTGTAGAACTTACTTCTCCATGGTACCATATGAGTACCACCTTCCGAAATGAAACCAATGTAATGGTGTCCATGTTCTGTGCAGGTCCGGGAGCTGGAGAGCCAGCTGGGTCAGATGAGGAGTCCCATGTCAGAGTACAGTCTGGAGGAAGAGATGTTGGGTACATCCAGGAGAATGCCTGCTCAGGAGAAGAACTTGTTTCGCTTAAGAACGTTGGAGAAAGAGAGGAAAGAATCATTGGAGGTAATACAGACAATTATGATATTGTGAGAGCTGCAGGACAATATCACGAATGTCTTTCATATTTGTTATCTTATACAGTCAGCACAATCCGAAGAGTTTTACAATGTGCATAACACCATGCATATCAGTTTGAGGAGCCTAAAATCTTTTAAATTGATATGCCGATTGACCCAGCAGCAGGTTTGTGTGGTTTCCCTGGCACAATTCAATAAATATGGGGTGAACTTGCAAATTTCATACAAGGGAGACCCTGCCGTGGTGGAATTTGATTCAAGAATGAAAGTAATTTTTAAACCTTAAGTTTTTTTTTTATAACAAATATGTTATACTTACCTGCTCTGTGTAATGATTTTGCACAGAGCATCCCTGATCTTCCTCTTCTATGGGATCTTCCCCCCCTTGGTCTCCTGTCTCCTCTGGCCTTTCGAGAAGCCCATCTTGCAAGCCTCATGCTAAGGAGGGGCACTCATTAGGGCTCACTCCTGGGCCTTGATGTCTACATTCATAGAAACAGCGGGGCATGTCCCCCCATTCCCCTGCCCTTCATAGGGTTTGATCGACAGCAGCAGGAGCCAGTGGCTCTCACTGCCATCAATCTTCCCTGTGAGGAGGGTGAGAGTGGAGAGAGCTGCTACTCTCATTCACAGCGGTGGATTGAGATCAGGTTCAGGTAAGTATAAGAGGGGGATCCTGGACACAGAAGGTTTTTTACTTTAATTCAGAGAATACATTAAAGTGGTTTTATGCATGAAGGTAAAAAACCTTCTTTGTGCAGTAGTTCCCTTCCCAGCCCCCCAATACTTACCCATTGCGTCCCATCTCAATTTAGTGATGTGCATGAGAGCCTCGGCTCTCCCAGGCCTCTCCCTCCTCACAGGCTGAGACAGCAGCGGGAGCCATTGGCTCCCGCTGCTGTCAATCACAGCTAGTGACCAATGAGGAGAGAGCTAGGGGGCAGGGACAAGCCTCATCTGTGAGTAACTGGACACACAGAGCAGTGGCTAAGGAGCGAGTATGCTTCTGTGCCCCCATAGCCAGCTGCTTGCTGTGGGGTCACTTGGCAGGAAGGAGGGGCCAGGAGTGCCGACGGGAGACCCGAGAAGAGGAGGATCAGGGCTGCTCTGTGCAAAAACCACTGTACAGAGCAGGAAAGTATGACTTGTTTGTTATTTAAAAAAGAAATCTGCCTTTACAGTCACTTTAGGGTATACAAAAAAAACCCGTAAGGCTTTAGAACTAATATAAATCTACAGATCTAGTCTCCAAGATGTTTCCGGGTGGATGAAATATTGTGAACACCATGCGGTTGATCTACTAAAACTGGAGAGTGAAAAATCTGGAGGAGCTGCAAGTGGTAGCCAATTGGCTTCTAACTTCAGTTTGTTCGATTTAAGCTTTGACAATAAAACCTGGAAGCTGATTGGCTTCTATGCAGAGCTGCACCAATTTTTGAACTCTCCAGTTTTAGTAGTAAACCAGCCCCCATGTTACTTGTGTAAGCTACTCAGGGAAAAAAAGCAAAAGCTGGGATCCTTTCTTTGTCTATGGCAGCCAGGGGTGGACTGACAACTCATGGGGCCCCCGGGCAATAGGGGATCATGGGGCCCCTGTGTCCTTGCCCACACTCAAAGCACACACACAAAAAAGCCTATAAAAAGGTACCAGGGGCATTTCATGGGGCACCCTACTGACCCCGGGCCCTTGGGCAGTGCCCGAGTGATCGAATGGTCAGTCTGCCTCTGATGGCAGCCTTTCTTAACATCGAGAATCTCCTTAAAGCCTTCGCTCCCCGTAAGCCTTGACCGCTCATGACCCTGTCCCCGGTTTGTCGGTTTTCCTACTTTGGACCACTTTTGGTCGGTCCTGACCACTGCAGACTGGGAACATCCCACAAGCTCTGCAGTTGCTCTGACCCACTCCTGTAGCCTTGTCAAAGTTGCTCAGATCCTTACGCTGATCTGTTTTTGTTTGCTTTCAACACATCAACTTCAGGGAGAACATGTTCACTTGCTGCCTAATATATCCCACCCGCTTTTGGGTGCCATTGTAACAAGACAATCAAAGTTATTAGCTTTACCTGTCAGTGTTCACAAAGTTATGGCTGATTGGTATTTAGTGAAGCAAAAAAAAAAAAATCAGAATGAATGTGTGATGGGAGTCACTTTGGGTGGGGGGGGCCCATGGAACCCAACTTACTTTGGAGAGGTGGGGAGACCCCTGTCTCAGCTCCCCATATCCCTATTATGTGTAAGTCACCCTCTGTCTGTTAGGGGTACAGGGTGATCTGTCCTAATATTGTGCGACATGGCTAGGAGATAGGTGGGGGTTGTGGATTGTTTGGTGTTGTGTGGTTGCATCCTATTGTTCTATTGTGTGCAGGGGTGGACTGACAATTTGAGCACTTTGGCACTGCCCGAGGGCTAGGGGTCAGTAGGGGGCCCCATAAAATGCCCCTGGTACCTTTTTTTTTATAGGCTTTTTTGGGTGTGCTTTGAGTGTGGGCAAGGACACAGGGGCCCCATGATCCCCTATTGCCCATGAGTTGTCAGTCCGCCCTTGATTGTGTGTCTTGCTTGGGAGCAAACTATTATGGGATGTATGTGTTTATGTGTATTGGCTTGGTTGGGGGGGGGTGTCACCAGCAGCCCTTCCTCCTGATGGGACTGTCTGTTGGTGTGTCTCTTGTTACTAAATGTAGATAGCCCCGCCCTGTGTCATTATGCAGGGAGGGGGGGTTGTTCCCTGAGTGTATATATCTTGTATCTGTGTTAAAAATAAACTAGTCTACCTTCTGGATTACTTCAAATCTGGTGTCTTCTGGTTCTTGGGGTAGCAATAGCCAGATTCACTGGTCTCGTGTTCCAGAGCCTGAGAAGCAGCTTCTTGACGGAGATACCCAGTCGCGGGTGTCTGGGGTCCGTTACAGAATGTCTTTGAGCATATTTCTGAAGTGTGACAAAAAAAACTTCTCCAGATGTTTGTTTCCATCCTCTGTCCTCCTTTATGATGATATCAGCTATTATCAGTTTTCCTGCTCTAAGCAGAATGACTATTTTTACTTGAACACTACTCCCGATGGGCCACCGCTGAATGTGGAAATGAAGGTTGATGATGAATAGACAAGTGCTGCTTTCACCCCGCACACTTGTCATCTTATACCTGCAGCTGACAGAAATCACTGCCAGTAGTTATGTGCTGGGAAGCCCCATCCATTGATATTGCTGAGATCTATAACAGTTTCCCATCCTTCACAGAATACTCAGATACTGAACGATGACATTGTCTTTTTATTCTGAGATTCTTTCTATTAGAATATTAGAGGGAAATCATTTTATTATACATGTAACACAATAAAAGCATAGTTCAGGTGACTGAAACTCTCCTCTCCTTCCAAAATATTCTGTCCAGCTCACTGTCCTTAAAGTGGTTCTAAAGGCAGATTTTATATCTTAAAGTGGCTGTAAACCTCAGACATGAAATATGAACAAAGCATACCCCTCTATAGTGTGTACTTGTCTCAGTCCAGAGCACTGTCAGTTCTGTCTGCTGCCTCCTTCCTCTGCTATCAGCATGAGTCACCTCTGACTATTTTTCCTGGCACCAAGAGAAAAATGGTGACAGGGGAGGGCACAACCTGTGATTGAGAGCCTCAGCTCTGTTCCTGTGTGCTGTGTGGAGGGGGGAGGGGGTGTCCCTTCCCTCCAGTCAGCTCTCAGAGCTCTCCTCACTGATGTAACTTCACCTCTCCTCTCCCTGCTTTTCATATCTGAGAGATCCTGTGTAAATTCTGCCCTTTGAATGGTTGTAGGGGAAAGACAGCTATAGATAAACAGGTACAATGTTTGTAGGAGGATTTGTTTAATCTCCGTGTATCACCTGAGGTCAGTCACTTCACTGGGAATATGGAAGGGGTTACAACCACTTTAATGCATTCTCTGCATGAGGATTGGCCCTGGGTTCACATCTGTGTGGGTGGGTGGTGCCGCGGCGGATCCGCACGAAAATCTGTGCAGACGCACAAAGAATTGCAGACCCGCGGGCGGGTGCCATTAGTTCTAATGGCACGCCTCCCGCACTGGACAACGCAACCGTACTGGGAGCCGAGGAGCAGGGACTTCTTTTCCTGTGTGTCACGGATACGGGAGTCCATTCAAATGAATGGGCTTTCGTGCCCCTGCAAAACGCGGCCGCATAGATGTGAAACGGGGGTAAAAACCTTCTGTATGCAGCTTCCTCCATTCCTCAATCTAGTGATGTGCACAAGAGCAGCGTCTCTCTTTACTCTCTCTCTCTCTCTCCTCACCAGTGAGGATAGGGTGGAGGGTAGGGACGAGACACACTCTGTGTGTCAATGGACACACCGGCTCGGGAGTGAGCAGGCACGAGTGCCCCCATAATAGCAAGCCACTTGACAGGGGGGTGGAGCTCAGAGCGCCAGCAAGAGGACCCAAGAATAACAGGATCAGGGCTGTTCTGTGCAAAACCATGTAAATGTAACATGTTTGTTATTTTAAAGAAAAAAAAACATTTTTTTTAGAAGCACTTTAACCCTTTCAGTGCCAGGGCCATAAATGGTACGAACCTGACAGCGGGGGGGGTGGGGGTGGGGGGGGTTATACACAATCCGGTGGCTGCAGCTACCAAGATTGTGTATAAAATTGACAGGCAGACTGCAGCCTGTCAGGTGGAAGCAATCGTGGAAGCCCGTCGCCGTGTATCCGGGCCCTGCTTGGCCCGGTGAGCGCTATGGCAGGTCCCGGTGGGTGGAGGGGAAAGAGGAGAGCGGGCGAACATCTTTCTGTGACCCGGAAGGAAACGTGTGTGACGTCTCTTCGGGGGTCACGGCTGTCACTTTCTCAGCTAGCACAGCCGAGAAGCAATGTATTGAAATGCGGTCTGCATGGCAATACATTGAGTGGAGCCCAGAGGAGACGTTGGGGGTCTTTTAGACCCTGCATGTCTCAATAAAGAGAACCTGTCACCTAAAAATCATTACATAGAGAACTTTGTGTCCCACTAGTATGTGATGATGATTTTTTTTTTTCTTTATTGCATAAAATAAAGATACATCCAAGCACAACCCCCTCCCCCCCAAAAAAAAAACATTTTAAGGCCTCCCTCCCATCCCCACATATACGCACGTATGAATGTAAAGGCACACGTCATGGTGCCTACACGTGAAAACGTCAATTGCGATACACATGTTACATATCGCCGCGTACGCCGGAGTGAGTGCAATAATTCTAGCACCTTCTCTGTCACACTAAACTGATGCAATGGAAAAACAGAATGGTTGGCCGCACAAACAGCAATGTGGTGGATGAAATGATTTATTGGAATCGTTTACGTGCAATTGCAGAGGATTCCAATAAATCATTTCACCACATTGCTGTTTGTGCGGCCAACCATTCTGTTTTTCCATTGCATCTGTGATCACGGATCGGGCCAGCACCTGCGTGTCTGTGGAGGGGTTATGCAGATTCGGCACTCGCCTGGAACGGATCTTTTGCTCTCACACTAAACTGATGACCTATAGGGGCTTTTGAAGCGTCGCCTATAGAAAATATGGGGGACTGAAGTCTGTGGCCATTTCGCAGGCGCACACAAATTTAATGTTTGGCATGTTGGGTATCTGTTTACTCGGCGCCAGCTCATCTTCTATATTTTACCAAAAATTTGGATCATTTACTAAAATGCACTTTATTCTGATTTTTACCGAAATTTTGCGGTATTATCGCATGACATAAAAAAATTTAAATGACCACTATTTTATTATCTAGGATGTCTGCTTTCAGAACATATATAATGTTTTGGGGGTTTTGTGTCATTTTCAGGCCTAAAATGATTTTTTAAACGTGTGCAAAAAATGCTTAAACTGCTCTGGCAGTGAAAGGTTTAAGACTTTAGGAAAGGCAGACTGTGTGCCAGCCTCATTGGTCAGTGGAATTAAAAAAAATTCCCCAGTGTCTATGATAAGTCAGGGATGTTGAATTTATAGCACCCGATGCTGGGGACATGTAGTTCCGGATGCCAGGCAGGTAGTTTTTTTTTTTTTATCCTTCAGCCCTGCTGCGGGTTTGTTGTTAATGCTTTAACATTTGTGACAATAGGAAGAATAATGCCCCATCATTGGTGTCAGTGGGAGGAATAGTGCCCCATCATTGGTGTCAGTGGGAGGAATAGTGTCCCATCATTGGTGTCAGTGGGAGGAATAGTGCCCCAACATTGGTGTCAGTGGGAGGAATAGTGTCCCATCATTGGTGTCAGTGGGAGGAATAGTGTCCCATCATTGGTATCAGTGGAAGGAATAGTGCCCCATCATTGGTGTCAGTGGGAGGAATAGTGCCCCAACATTGGTGTCAGTGGGAGGAATAGTGCCCCATCATTGGTGTCAGTGGGAGGAATAGTGTCCCATCATTGGTATCAGTGGAAGGAATAGTGCCCCATCATTGGTGTCAGTGGAAGGAATAGTGCCCCATCATTGGTGTCAGTGGGAGGAATAGTGCCCCATCATTGGTGTCAGTGGGAGGAATAGTGCCCCATCATTTGGTGTCAGTGGGAGGAATAGTGCCCCATCATTGGTGTCAGTGGAAGGAATAGTGCCCCATCATTGGTATCAGTGGGAGGAATAGTGCCCCATCATTGGTGTCAGTGGGAGGAATCATGCCCCATCATTGGTGTCAGTGGGAGGAATAGTTCCCCATCATTGGTATCAGTGGGAGGAATCATGCCCCATCATTGGTGTCAGTGGGAGGAATAGTGCCCCATCATTGGTATCAGTGGGAGGAATCATGCCCCATCATTGGTATCAGTGGAAGGAATAGTGCCCCATCATTGGTGTCAGTGGGAGGAATAGTGCCCCATCATTGGTGTCAGTGGGAGGAATAGTGCCCCATCATTGGTATCAGTGGGAGGAATAGTGCCCCATCATTGGTGTCAGTGGGAGGAATAGTGCCCCATCATTGGTATCAGTGGGAGGAATAGTGCTCCATCATTGGTGTCAGTGGGAGGAATAGTGCCCCATCATTGGTGTCAGTGGGAGGAATAGTGCCCCCATCATTGGTATCAGTGGGAGGAATAGTGCCCCATCATTGGTATCAGTGGGAAGAATAGTGTCCCATCATTGGTGTCAGTGGGAGGAATAGTGCCCCATCATTGGTGTCAGTGGGAGGAATAGTGTCCCATCATTGGTATCAGTGGGAAGAATAGTGTCCCATCATTGGTGTCAGTGGGAGGAATAGTGCCCCATCATTGGTGTCAGTGGGAGGAATAGTGCCCCATCATTGGTATCAGTGGGAGGAATAGTGCCCCATCATTTGTGTCAGTGGAAGGAATAGTGTCCCATCATTGGTGTCAGTGGGAGGAATAGTGTCCCATCATTGGTATCAGTGGGAAGAATAGTGCCCCATCATTGTTGATAGTGCTTTAACATTGGTGACAATGGGAGGTATAGTGTCAGTAGAAGCAATTGTGCCCCATTGTTGGTGTTAGTGGGAGGCATAGTGCCCTATCATTGCTGTCAGTGGAAGATATTGTTCCCCATCCTTAATGTATTTTTCGCTGGAGCAAGTAGAAATGAGATGCTGGATTCAAATGTATTCTTAGATTGGATCAATGTACAATGACGCTGTTTAGGTTGCTCTGGAAGAAACAAGGTGGCCCTCAAACAGGGTGTCCAGATTTGAAGGATCGCATGTAAAAAGTCTAATGAGCACATCAAACAAACAGTCTGAAAGTCCAAAGATATTTAATATGAATATTGGCCCTCATATGACCACATAATAAAGCCAACGTGCATTGGGGGCTCAACACTTTCCTTTTTTCAGAACTTAAAGCGGAGTTCCACTCACCCTGTCAAAAAATAAAAGTCAGCAGCTACAAAAACTGTAGCTGCTGACTTTTAAAAAACAGCCACTTACCTGTCCCTCGGTCCCGTGGTGTGTCCCCTGCAGCTTGGAAGTAGTAGTGACCCATCTTTAATGTCGGGGGGGGGGTAAGCTTGCGGCTTCACAGCCGGGTGCCCGCTGCGCATGCGCGAGAAGTCCTGCACTTCCTGAATGGCCCCGTAGTCTTCTGGGACCTGTCACGTGTCCCACAAGACTTTGGGGAGGGAGGACAACTGCCGCTTCTGATCGCCTAGGCAATCGTAGCGAAAGCGGGAAACCTGTCAAATTCGGGTACCCGTTCCCCCCGCTCCCCAACGGTGCCAATCCTTAATGGGGAACGAGGACCAATCTTTAAAGCGGAACTTCCACTTTTTGGGTGGAACTCCACTTTAAAGTGGTTGTAAAGCCTTTTTTTTTTTTTTTTTTTTTGTTTAATAACGAACATGTCATACTTACCTGCTTTGTGTAGTGGTTTTGCACAAACCGGATCCTCCTCTTCTCGGGTCTCCTGCCGGCACTAATTCCTAGAACTTATCTTGGTTACTGTGTGTTAATTGGTAATACGCTAACCGGCACATACTGAAGGTGTCATTTTGTAATAGTAGCTTTGTTTTTATTCCTATATTCCTCTTCTTGTTGCTTCCATGTTGTCTTGTTTGATATAATCCTAGAGACTGACCGGAGAACATGGCAATCTTAAAAAAGAATATGAGGATCTGAAAAAGAGGTTTGAGGCTTCCAAAGCCAGGAACCGATCTCTGTCCAATGATCTGAAGACCCTCAAGTTGCAGATGACGACACTGCTGGATAAAGGGAAGCATGACGATGAACTCATAGATGCCTTGCTGGTACTTTGTGTTGATTGTTCTTAAAGGGAACGAATAGTCTTTTTAGTTTTTAGTTGCAAAAGAGACCAGGATGATGTACAGCCAGAGACGTCCCTAGGGTTGGTGTCACCCGGTGTGATAACACTTGGTGACACCCCCTCCAACGATCCCCGCAGGATGGTTCTGATCTGCGGACTCCGATCCATTATGCTCCCCAATCTGCAGATCTGATCCATCCTGAGGGGACCGTCGGCATGCAACCTATACGGGGTGATACCGGACCCGCTCCACGAAAAGGTAAGTTGTAAAGAAAGCCGACGGTCCCCGTAGAATGGATCGGATCCATCCTGTGGGTATCGTTGGCTTGCTTTACAGCTTACCTTTTTGTGGAGCGGGTCCGGTGTCATCTGGAGCGGCGCGCACCCCCTGCACCTGCCTCGGGACGCCACTGTGTACAGCACATGTGCCAAACACAATGCCCGCGGGCCAAATCAGGCCCACCGGGCCATCTCATGTGGCACTTGCAGCTGTGGCACCCCCTTCGACTCCACCTCCACCTTCACCGCCAGATCATGTGCTTGTCCATGCAGCCGCAGAGTGGCTCATCTCTGCCCCCTCCATCCCGTCTCAGCAGTCGGCAGCAGAGAGTAGGACGGAACTCCTCCTACAGATCCTGAACATGCATTTCTATATTTATTCCATACATTTTTACATGCATTTATATAGTCCCTCAATGAAACCTGAGTAAAGGTGTTTTTTTTGTTTTTGTTTTTTGGGTTTAGATGCTCTTTAACAACACAGAGGTGAGATAGTTGCTGCTCGGGTAGTGATTTGGTTTTAGTCTACAACACAAACTGAAAAAGCAGGAAGCAGAGCCTGTATATGTAATTAATAAATATGTCTGTCTCCATATACATTTATTACATTTTAAAAAGTTAGTTAATGAAAAGGAGAAATAACACCCTCCCCATCCCAACCTCGGCCCCTGCTGCACGTACCTCTAGTGGTGATAATGTTTCACTGTTCATGCAGCCTGGTGCAACTGTCCTGAGGTTTGAAAACTGCGCCAATCCTCCTATTCTTTCTCTACAAATGCCAGTATATATCAGAGCGGTTCTGATTGTTCAGCACTGGCACATGACTGTGATGACCCAAAACCATTGCATTGGGCTGCATGGACAGTAAAACTATCACCCAGATAAATGGAGCAGGGACCAGGGCTAGGAAAGGTGTAGGGCTTCACATCTAAGAGGAACTTCAGCCGCTCCTCTGATTTTTATAATAACAGTGAAGTGGCGAGCGGGGTGACCAGATATGATTATTGCACCACATCCCTTAAAATTGCAAATATTCAATAGAGAAGATGGGACTTTCAGGGTGCATGAACATGAATACCACACATATTAAAAAGTTATATTATCATTATTATATAATTTTTATTTTGTATTTTTGTAATTTAGGAAAAAATACAGAAACATAAAAAAAACTATTTCAGTTCTAAGAGTAAAACTGAGATTGAAACTTGGTTATGTAATTGTAGTTACTCCCTACATGTTTCGCCCTCACTGGCTTCCTCAGGGGAGATTTTTTTGAAGAAATTTCTACCGCCGAGGCAGTCTAGAGATATATCAAAGGAAAATTGTACAATTACCAAACAACTTTAATATATCCAATAGAGTATTTAATTAAAAAAAAATATATAAATATATATATATACAGTGGGGATCGAAAGTTTGGGCACCCCAGCTAAAAGTTTGTATTAATGTGCATAAAGAAGCCAAGGAAAGATAGAAAAATCTCCAAAAAGCATCAAATTACAGATTAGACATTCTTATAATATGTCAACAAAAGTTAGATTTTATTTCCATCATTTACACTTTCAAAATAACAGAAAACAAAAAAATGGTGTCTGCAAAAGTTTGGGCCCCCTGCAGAGTTAATATCTTGTACTGCCCCCTTTGGCAAGTATCACAGCTTGTAAACGCTTTTTGTAGGCAGCCAAGAGTCTTTCAATTCTTGTTTGAGGTATCTTTGCCCATTCTTCCTTACAAAAGTCTTCCAGTTCTTTGAGATTTCTGGGCTGTCTGTCACGCACTGCTCTTTTAAGGTCTATCCATAGATTTTCAATTATGTTGAGGTCAGGAGATTGTGAAGGCCATGGCAAAACCTTCAGTTTATGCCTCTTGATGTAATCCCCCGTGGATTTCGAGGTGTGTTTAGGATCATTATCCATTTGTAGAAGCCATCCTCTCTTTAACTTCAGCTTTTTCACAGATGGCATCAAGTTACCATCCAAAATTTGCTGAAATTTTATTGAATCCATTTTTCCTTCTACTCGTGAGATGTTCCCTGTGCCACTGGCTGCAACACAACCCCAAAGCATGATTGATCCAACCCCACGCTTAACAGTTGGACAGAGGTTCTTTTCATTAAATTCTGTGCCCCTTCTTCTCCAAACGTACCTTTGCTCATTCCGGCCAAAAAGTTCAATTTTAACCTCATCGGTCCACAGAACTTGTTTCCAAAATGCATCAGGCTTGTCTATATGTTCATTTGCAAAGTTCAAACGATGATTTTTGTGGTGAGGACGTAGAAGAGGTTTTCTTCTGATGACTCTTCCATGAAGACCATATTTGTACAAGTATCTCTTTATAGTGGAATAGTGTACCACAACTCCAGTGTCTGCCAGATCTTTCTGGAGGGATTGTGCAATCAAACGTGGGTTTTGAATTGTTTTTCTCACAATCCTGCGAGCTGTTCTGTCTGATATTTTTCTTGGTCTTCCAGATCTTGCTTTAACTTCCACTGTTCCTGATAACTGCCATTTCTTAATTACATTCCGAACAGAGGATATTGACATCTGAAAACGCTTTGCTATCTTCTTATAGCCTTCTCCAGCTTTGTGAGCGTCAACTATTTTCAGTTTCAGTTTTCTAGACAACTGCTTAGAAGAACCCATGATGCTGATTGTTGGGGCAAGGTCAGATGAGTCTGGGCATTTAAAACCTTTGAGATTGACATCACCTGGTCTTCCCAGACGATGATTGAGAACAATCCATGACACTGGCAGGTCTCAGCTTTGCAAAGGGGGCAGTGCATGCTATAAATTCTGCAGGGTGCCCAAACTTTTGCAGACGCCATTTTTTTGTTTTGTGTTATTTTGAAAGTGTAAATGATGGAAATAAAATCTAACTTTTGTTGACATATTATAAGAATGTCTAATCTGTAATTTGATGCCTTTTGGAGAATTTTCCATCTTTCCTTGGCTCTTTATGCACATTAATACAAATTTTTAGCTGGGGTGCCCAAACTTTCGATCCCCACTATATATATATATATATATATATATATATATGGACTCGATGGCTCACCCTGGATGTGAAAGCTCACGGCCACACTTACCTGTCACGGAATCAATATTCACCTGCCCAGCGGATCCAGTGGTGTCCTTCTGCGATCCGTTAATCAGGTGCAGCAGTCCAGCATCTTGGTCCCCTTCAGTCATTGGAAGCTGGCTACCTTTTTCGAGTTCAGTTAGCCGGCCTGCGATGACAACCACAGCTCTGCCCACCAGCCGCTGTTATTCCCTGCTCCTGCAGCCTTCTGGGATAGGTGATGTGGAATCCCAGGGGTTCAAGGCAGCAGGAATGTGTCCTTCTCACCTGTGCGAGAATGGCGGGTGGGTGGTGGTCCATTTTAATAAGTTTTACATTTACTGTACATGTACACTGAACAGACTTTTCATTCCTATGATCATATGCAGCTGGTAACAATCGCTTGTGCAACTGAAAACTAAAGGGCTACAACTTCTTACAATCACTTCATACATTTTTTCAGGTCCAGAAGAATATGCAGGAGATCCTAACCAACCTGAGCAAGCAGGATCAGAAACACAAAGACTCTCAGCAATCCTTGAGCCTGCACCTAAACAACGAGAGCCAGAAGCAGAACTCGCTGGTCGCTCAGCTGAAACAGATGGTGGCGGAGAGGGAGACAAAGGTGAAAGAGCTGGAGGTGGAAATCCAGCAACTGACCACAAAGGTAAAACTTTAGGTGGACCTCCTAGTAACTATAAAAGTCTGCATGGATACATTTTTGACATGTCACAATATACAACCACTGTATCACTTTCCATAAAAGCTCCACCTTTTGTCATTAAAGCGGAGTTCCACTCGCCTGTCAAAAAATAAAGTCAGCAGCTACAAAAACTGTAGCTGCTGACTTTTAAAAAACAGCCACTTACCTGTCCCTCTGCCCCGTGGTGTGTCCCCCGCAGCCCGTTTCACCGGCCGTCCTCTATTCCAGGAGGCCGGCATCTTCAGTGTGGGCACCCGGCTGTGATAGCTTGCGGCCTCACAGCCAGGTACCCACTGTGCATGTACGAGTAGCGCTGCTCTTCATGAATGGTCCTGTAGTCTTCTGGGACCTGTCACGTGTCCCAAAAGACTACAGGGAGGGAGAACACCTTCTGTTTCTGATCACCTAGGCCAGTGGTTCTCAACCTTCCTAATGCCGTGACCCTTTAATACAGTTCCTCATGTTGTGGTGACCCCCAATCCTAAAATTATTTACCCAGTAATTATAATTCATGAAGTGTCGTTTTACCTCCAATACTGCTGCTTTCAGCACAGCAGCTGCTTTCTACACAGTAGCTGCTCTTTACACATCGGAAATATGTGTTTTCCGATGGTCTTAGGCGACCCGTGAAAGGATCATTCGACCCCCAAAGGGGTCACGACCCACAGGTTGAGAACCACTGACCTAGGCGATCGAAGGAAGTGGAGAGGGTACCTGTCAAATTCGGGTACCCGCTCCCCAAAGGTGCCATTCCTTAATGGGGAGTGGCAAGCAGTCCTTAAAGTGGAACTTCCCCTTTTGGGTGGAGCTCCACTTTAAATATCCATCCTTGACCTCCAGTCCATTGACATTGCCTAGGCTAAAATTATGTCATCAGTTTGCTGCAGGCAGCAGTAAGCATTTCCTCAGTCTCCCCTCCCCCAGTGATTAGGCTGTACATTGTAACTCTGTAGCAAGTCACAGTGTGAGAAGCCGCAGCATGGGCTGATCTGTGTCAGACATTTGTGAACATAGCCAAGAACTGCACAGGTACCAGGATTTACATGACTGTGTCATTTCTGAACCAGCATCTCAGTCTAGGAAGTAGATAGTGACCCTGGATGATACCTGAACAAAGATGGCTCTCTCCAGGAGAGAAAAGCAGATGAAGGTGTTGTCAGGGGAAGTACTGTGATCTCTGTGAGAGGTAATAAATACGGTAAGTGTTATACCTACCATGCTTGGTCTTCAGATAAGAATGGGGCTGCTGCCACAACCACACTGCAACTATGTGTGTAATGCAAATGGTTGCAGCGCAGTGGTGCATCATTTACACCTCTGAAAAGTGATCCACTTAGCTACACATCCTAACATAGCCAAACACAGGCACTTTCAGTCAGTATAAGGTCTCTGCCGTCATAAATGTGTGGTCAGGTCAGGTTCACGTTAAACTACGCCCAACCCCTTACTCTGACCCTAAACCTCATGTGAAATGTACACCATTGCAGTGATATATACTACATTATGGCAATGAACACTCAGATTTTGGTGTCTATGTACAATGGTCCTGGTTCACACAAGCACAACAGACATAACATACACAACCATGGGCGCACATCAGATGTCTCCAAAGGGTCATTCACACACAGGGGCGGACTGACCATTTGGAAACTCGGGCACTGTCTGAGGGCCCGGGGTCAGTATGGGGCCCCATGAGATTCCCCTGGTACCTTTTTACATAGGCTTTTTTGAGTTTGGGCAAGGACACAGGGGCCCCATGATCCTCTATTGCCCGGGGCCCCATGAGTTGTCAGTCCGCCCCTGTTCACACATTATTGTTATTATTATACAGGATTTTTATTATTATTATTATACAGGATTTATGGCGCCAACACTTTGCTCAGCACTTTACAATATAACGGGAGACAATACAGCAACAATACAGTTCAATACAAGAGGGATAGGAGGGCCTGATCCTCAGATCTCCTAGATTGTGAGCTCCCAGGATCAGGGCCCTCCTATCCCTTTTGTATTGAACTGTATTGTTGCTGTATTGTCTCCCGTTATATTGTAAAGCGCTGAGCAAACTGTTGCGCGCTAATAATAATAATAATAAATCCTGTATAATAATAATAATAATAATAAATCCTGTATAATAATAATAATATATAATTCCTGTATAATAATAATTATATATAAATCCTGTATAATAATAATAATATATAATCCTGTATAATAATAATTATATATAAATCCTGTATAATAATAATAATATAAATCCTGTATAATAATATAATAATATAAATCCTGTATAATAATAATAATATAAATCCTGTATAATAATAATAATATATAAATCCTGTATAATAATAATTATATATAAATCCTGTATAATAATAATTATATATAAATCCTGTATAATAATAATAATAATAATAATAATAATAATAATAAATCCTGTATATAATAATTATATATAAATCCTGTATAATAATAATAATAATAATAATAAATCCTGTATAATAATAATTATACATAAATCCTGTATAATAATAGTAATATAAATCCTGTATAATAATAATAATGTGTGAATGACCCTTTGGAGACATGTGATGCGCCCATGGTTGTGTATGTTATGTCTGTTGTGTGAACCATGACCTTCAGCTAGAGGACGCTAAACTCTTACTATAGGGTAAAATGACGCACAATAAAACCTTCTTAGAACAAAAGGTAGTCGCATGTCTCATTCCATCACATATCCCAAAATAAGAGGATTATTCTTCATTTCAGGGTAGTGGATGGAGCAGTTTGAAATAGAGCCTAATATTATAGAGCAATTTATCTATAGTAATCTCCAGCAGGTTTGGCTGTACATTTAGGGCTCATTCACACTGCAGCTGCTGAACTGACGTTCAGGAGCTGTTGAGCGTTTTTTTTTTTTCAGCAGCCCCTGAACTCTCTCTAATGGTTTCCTATGTGTCCATGTACACATCGTCATTTACAGTCGTTTACAGGCAGTTGAGTTTACAGTCGTTTTCTTGAATGCACTAAAATTGCGTTCAGGAGTAGATTTTACCGGCGTTTCAAATACTTGTAAACGCGGTTGACCGTGTTTACAAGCGTTTGCGTTTAGATGCGTTTTTTGACAGGTCCATATCCAGATGCTGTCCAAAGCCTTTTTTCTTCATCAGAAATGCATGCAAAGTGTTTTCCACGTATTCAAATGGACCCGGTACACCAGCGCTGCATTCTGCTCATGATGGGATCCATAGTGAATACAACCAGAAAACACAGGTCATCTCAACACATACTGCTCTCTCTGCTTCTGCTCTCTATTTTCTCTCAAAATGTCTGAAACAGTTTTTTTATTTACTATTTTTCAGTGCAATCTGGGCATTTTGGAAGGTGTCCTGAGGTTATCTTTAAAAAACACTTCTAAACGCAACTAAATGCGCATAAACGTGGTATGCAAACAAAGCTAAACTGTTGTTTTTTAACCTATGTTTTCTAGCTGTCAGTTTCCAGTGGTCAGAACAGTTTTCTTAATGCCCCGTGTACATGAGCTCTTAGTCATTAGGGCATAACGGAATGATTTGCATGGCTCCGTCCACTGTCTTAAAATGTATTTTATTATTTCAGGTACTTATATATTACTGTCAATTTACGCAGCGCTTTGCATATATATTGTACATTCACATCAGTCCCTACCCTCCCTAAGGTCCCTAACCCTCAAGGGGCGTACAATCTAAGGTCCCTAACCCTCAAGGGGCGTACAATCTAAGGTCCCTAACCCTCAAGGGGCATACAATCTAAGGTCCCTAACCCTCAAGGGGCGTACAATCTAAGGTCCCTAACCCTCAAGGGGCGTACAATCTAAGGTCCCTAACTCACATTCATACATACACATACTAGGGACAATTTAGACAGGATCCAATTAACCTACCAGCATGTCTTTGGAGTGTGGGAGGAAACCGGAGTACCCAGAGGAAACCCACACAGGCACAGGGAGAGCATGCAAACTCCAGGCAGAAGGTGCCAGGGTTGGGATTTGAACCAACGACCCGAGTTCTGCCAGGGGGAAGTGCTAACCATTTAGCCACTGTGCTGTGCTGCCCCTAAAATGAGGAATAATCCTCATATTTTATTTTTAGGATATATGATGGCACTAGATGTGAACACCTTCTGACCTTAAAAGGCTTTACTGTGCTATGCACGGGTTCAGTGGAGGGCTTTTTGGTTCCTTTAATCCAGGGGTCTCCAGACTACGGCCCATCGGTCATATAAGGCCAGATGCCAGATTTTATCCAGCCTTCTGGTGTAAGTGGGGACTGTAATGGGGACTCTGATATAAGAAAGGATACTGATGGGGACTATTGTGTAAGGGGGACTCTTATATAACAGAGGAGTTTGATGGGAACTCCCATGTAGAAGCAGACTATGATGGGGACTCTCATATAAGGGAGGACTCTGATGTAAGGAGGCTGTGATGCGGAGTCTGTTGCTCTAAATCATGTGCTGATTTAAAAAATGTATTCATTTATAAAATTTGTTTTTTTCAGCCTGTGAATGTTTTTAAAATCTACAGTGTAGATCTTGATCTGAAAATTTTGTAGACCCCTGCTTTAATCCCTGTCCACCATAACCTTCTGCATTATACATTCCTCTATAGGGTGGGATTGACATTTACACATAATAAATTAAACAATAATCGTCTTCCTTTTTTAAATCCTGTATGAAGTAACACAGAAGGGTCTGTGCCTCCTGCAAGTCTTAGCTTTTCCCTAGACGGTGCGCAGTTACAGATACACTATAATGCCCGCAGTATTGGGCCGCCGGCCTTTCCACGCACATGAACTTTAATGGCCCCCCAGTCTTAGTCCGTAGGGTTCAATATAGAGTTGGCCCCGACCTTTGCAGCTGTAACAGCTTCAACTCTTCTGGGAAGGCCGTCCACAAGGTTTAGGAGGGTGTCAATGGGAAGGTTGGACCATTCTTCC